CCCCCCCCCCCCCCTGCCCCCCTTGTTTTTGTCCGTATATATGGACCAATGCTTACACACACACACACACACACCTACCCCAGCATATCAACTCCATCACATTAGTAGATGCGGGTTCAATCGTGAAATTACNGCCCCAACCTCCACGCAGATCAACGAGTCCAACAATGATGTGGAGGTGCCGCAGTCGTTCTTCACCGGAAGAGAGCTCGAGGCCCTCATGGACGAGACCAAGCCCGAGTGGGTACCCGCGTCGGAATACTTCTCCGCAGAAGACGGGGCCGCCGGCAAGATCGGGAAGGGCGGGCTATTCGTTGAGGAGCCCGCAACTGGGACCCGCCTCCGCCGACTGAGCAACGGTGCGGCGGTGTGTGTATATGAGCCCAACGCTCCTGTCGTCACCGGACAATTCCCCAACAGACCCTATACAGCACGCACACCTCCGCCCTCCTCCCCACCCTGCTTCTGTCGTTTTTTGTCAGGCATCCGCGTGAACGTGGTGAAGCAGGAGCACGAGAGCCAGAGGGGACAGGTTCGCGTGACCCTCCCGGGGGGCCGGCAGCTGGAGTCTATCCTGGGCCCCGGTGTGGTGGCGATAGGGGCGAGGACCATGCAGGAGGGCGGGGCGTTCGGCAACTGGATCAGGGAACAGGTGAACCACGGTTCCAGGCCTTCCCAAGAAGATAACGCTGACTACCAGTAGTACTATGGTGGTCTTACCCTCCCCCCCCCGGGTTGCCCCGGTATCGCTGCGGTGACAAGTTGGGGGCTTCATATTTTGGAACCCGCGTCTTCAAGAGGCGTGCAGATGGCGGAATGAAGCTAGTGTTGGAAATGTTTTTTGTACAGCATTTTTTTTGTTTGTGGTGTGGTTTGCCACAAACGGTTTCGCCTCTATTTAGTGCAACAGCCCTCTAGTGCGGCAGCCCCGTGGACCCCACTAGAGCGCCAGGGAACACGATGTGCCACAAATCACCATTCCACTCTTCAACGTTTCCCCTTGGTACTCACCGACCCCCCCCCCCCCCCCCCCCCCCCCCCCCCCCCCCCCCCCCCCCCCCNCCCCCCCCCCCCCCCCCCCCCCCCACCCCATCCACTTCTGCCGTCGCCGCCACCCCGCTACTATTCCGAACCTTGCAAATCTCATGGTACTTGGAATTACCAAAGGTGGAGCTTTTCTGCATCGACCACCTGGTGATGGTTACCGTCGAGGCGAACGACGAGTTCTTGTACCTCGACCTGGCGTTCCCGACCACCAAGCTTCACGGCAGGGGGATGGGGGATGACGGCAGCGACGACGTGGAGGAGGGTCTCAACGGAATGGAGGCGGCATTCCAGGTTCGTTTTTTTTTCTTCTTGACGACACAGGAACATGGTGCTGTGTTGTCCAGCTAAGTGCTTGTTGATTTTGGAGGCGAATCTCCTATACGTAAGGGCGGCCGACGAAAGAGCAAAATGCTACGTGTGTCACCCACTTGTTGGTTTTTGTCCTTTTCGAGTATTTCGGTGCGTTTTACGACCAGTTACACAAGTATTGTGTGTGTTTTGTTGTTTAGTTTCTTCGTTTTTGTCAAGAGATGAGATTTTATGCTTGAGGGTACAAAATATCTCCGTTTTGTCTACACAGCTTCTCGGGCATGGCCATGACGATCGATAACCGGAAATTCGCGTTTCTTTTCTTTGACTCCCGTGTGTAATGCCGCTTCCTTTAGGTTCTTCATCAAATCCTATCTGGGTTTGTGTGGGAAGAGGAGGCCCTGAAGCGGGCCAAGCAGTCCTTCCTGCAGTCTCACGAGACCCTGGTCAAGAGCCTCGAGGGGAGGTCTACGGAGATGCTCATGGAGCGCATGTCCGGAGGCGACAGCCGGTTCATGTCCATCCCCCAGGAAGACATCGAGGTATCTACACTATCTAGCGTGAAACGGTTGCTGTTTGCTTTTTTCATGTTTGATGATGACCTGTTGTGTGTTTTTGCTGTTTTTTCCATATAGTTTGAACGGGGAACTAACTGTGTGAACTTCTTTGTATGCTTTTTTTTTTTCATGCTTTTTGATAAACTGACTTTTTATCAATAGCTGTTTGTAACAGCACGCCCCATCTCTTCATCTATAATACGGAGTAGCTGATTTGCGTTGCACGAGTTCACTTTTAGAGTCTAGTCTGAAGAAAGAGGTTCGCATGCCGGTGTTGGTCGCGATGATCCTTCGAGAAGGCTTAACAGTCAACATCGAATCTTACCATCTTGTTGCTGACCTTCACTCGTCCCTTTGTTAGTGCACAGTGGGGACTAAGTTTCATGGGACTTTTTTGTCATGACCATTCGTTGGGCCCTAGTTCTTTAGCTGATCAACAGAATTGGTGTTGAAAACCATGCAAATGCTCCCGGTGCTCTGTTCCCCGGTACGGTTTCTATGGGGGAACGTTTTTTTTTTGTTCCGGGCTGCAGCCAATCACCCTCGAGCAGGCTTCTATGGCGATCGAAGGACACCTTGCCACCTCCCACATGGAGGTATCGCTCGTCGGTGATTTCGACATCGCAGAGGTGGGTGGGTGGTGTCCTGCGTATGTGTATTGGGGCAGTGTTTTCTATTGAGTTTCTTTTGTTGGCATTGATGATTGCGCTATACGGCGAACCAATGAAATCACACGCCAGTCCCTCTAGCGGGACAGCAGTGCCCATTTTCACATGCATGTCAACGCACACGAAACGTGTTCTAAAGTCACACACGCACGCGGCGAGGNGGGGGGGGGGGACGACAGGGTCCAGTCTCTCCGAGTGAAATGTGTGCGTGCGTGTGGTGTCAACAGTTGTTGCCCGATGCGGTACGAGCATGAGTCCGTTGGAGAGTTGCACCGTGTGAGGAGGTACATGACCGCTCGATCTTTTAGTGGAGGGCGTTCGAAGTGTAATGCATTGAATTGATGCAAAAAGCCGTCGGAGCACTTGTTTGCATACTTCCTCTGTATCATAAGTTAGGGTACCTAAATGCAATAGATTGTCTGGGTGCAACCGTGTTAGTGATGGTAGCAAAGTCGGGTTTGTAAGAAAGATATAACAAAGAAGAAGCGATGGAAAAAAAATTAAAAAAAACGAACATCTGTTTCTGTACCTACTATTGGTCAAAATGTACCCTATTTTGGCCTGTTTTGGGAATATTTTTGAGAAAATATTTTGGGGTATTTTTTGAGAATTCTCGACAAAATTCTCAAATCCATTTTACTACCCTACTCTAGCGATGGAATCGCCCCCCAGCACACCACCTCGCAAAAGGGGCACCGAATTATCGGTTGGTAGGCGCTATGCCATGGCGGTAGAAATTGCGATGGGCATTCAGCCGGGGTTGTCAAGGATTCCCAAGGGCGTGCTTGACCCGATCTGCGAACGCTACGGTGTTGGAAAGAAGTACCCGTCCAAGTTGTGGAAACGGGTCAAAACCCAGATCGACAACACCCAGGAGCTGGACCTTTCAAACGAAGCAAAGTGGGCGGCCGTCGCTTCTCACCCCTTCAAAGATTGCGGCGGCATCGAGTCCAAGTGATGATGAGGAAGAATAGTCGACTTTTTCTTTTTTTTCCCCGCCACCAACCAACCCTTCTTTTTGTCCCGCAAGTGTCTTGATTTTAGTGTGACCCCCCAAGTGTCTTGGTTTTAGTGTGTGACCCCCAAGTGTCTTGGTTTTAGTGTGGTTCACTACTATACTGATTTTAGTATAGGGGGCGCGACATGGATCGTTGAGTAGAGGGGGGGGTTGGATGAGGGCCCTACTGTTGCTTGCTTTGCCCCGTAAGTGTCTTGGTTTTAGTGTGGTCCCCCCAAGTGTCTTGTTTTCAGTGTGGGGGCCACTATTATGCTGTTTTTAGTATGGGGGACGCGTCATGGATCGTTGA